ACATTTTATTTATTGTCTTCCATATCACACTTTTAACCTCTGCTTTACTGATACTTACTTGCATTTCAATGGTTCCTTTTGTTAACGCCGTTTTAGCTAATTTGTCTGCCATTTCATTTCCCCTTATCCCTACATGTCCTGGTACCCATAAAAAAATTATCTGCCTTCCTTGGTTAAATATTCTTGTAACTGACTGTAGGACTTCATACAATATATCTTGCCCACATTTTGAATATAATAACCTTATACTTGCTAAAACTGATGATGAATCTGAACAAACCAAAACTTTATGCTGCCCTGTCTTTTCCACCCATCGTACAGCGATTAATATTGCCAGCATTTCCACTGTATAAACCCCTAACATATTAGATGTTCTTCTATTAATTCCAATTCCTTTACTTGGAACCACCACACTCAATCCTGTTACTTCCGTCTCTGGTTCCTTGGCACCATCTGTATAAACCTGTATGTAATCATTATACTTTTCCGCTATCCGATTGTTGAAGACCATTTTTAGATTTATACCTTCCTTTGCCCTCCTTTTTTCCTCTAACACATACCAATCTACCTCAGGCCAAACTAACTTCCAGGGAGCCGTCTCTGGATAAACTACTGTGCAATTTATCCTCAAATTAATAACTCCTAATTCTTTAGCTGTCATTTCCAATCCTACCAAAGTTCTCATTTAGCCCTTTCCCATATTCCCAGCTCTCCTGTAACATTGCCTTAGTAGGATGTGAATCATTATGGCGCACAGCAGCTGTCCACCATGTTGAAATAGTAGGGCTGGGAATCGATTCCAAAAAGAATCGAGAGTCGATTCCAAAGGTTGGAATCGATTCCATCAAGGGGAATCGACTCCTCATCCAGAGCCTTTTTCAGTTCAACAAAGCTTATCTATGGGTGTCTCTCAAACGGAAGACTGCACACATTTAAATTCACGAAAATAAACTGAAAGAAAACGAGTCGGTAGCGATCATCTGAATTTTAGGATGCAGCCTTCCGTTTGAGAAGCACCATTCACCTCACTCATGCTCGCTAAAAGCTGTAATTACGAGAGTTGTGAGATAAAAGATAATTTTAATTTTTATATTTGTATTACCATTCGCCTCCCTCATGCTCGCTAAAAGCTGTAATTACGAGAGTTGTGAAATAAAAGATAATTTTAATTTTTATATTTGTATTACCATTCGCCTCCCTCATGCTCGCTAAAAGCTGTAATTACGAGAGTTGTGAAATAAAAGATAATTTTAATTTTTATATTTGTATTACCATTCGCCTCCCTCATGCTCGCTAAAAGCTGTAATTACGAGAGTTGTGAAATAAAAGATAATTTTAATTTTTAACCTTATACTTGCTAAAACTGATGATGAATCTGAACAAACCAAAACTTTATGCTGCCCTGTCTTTTCCACGCATCGTACAGCGATTAATATTGCCAGCATTTCCACTGTATAAACCCCTAACATATTAGATGTTCTTCTATTAATTCCAATTCCTTTACTTGGAACCACCACACTCAATCCTGTTACTTCCGTCTCTGGTTCCTTATTTGGCACCATCTGTATAAACCTGTATGTAATCATTGTACTTTTCCGCTATCTGACTGTTGAAGACCATTTTTAGATTTATACCTTCCTTTGCCCTCCTTTTTTCCTCTAACACAAACCAATCTACCTCAGGCCAAACTAACTTCCAGGGAGCCGTCTCTGGATAAACTACTGTGCAATTTATCCTCAAATTAATAACTCCTAATTCTTTAGCTGTCATTTCCAATCCTACCAAAGTTCTCATTTAGCCTTTTCCCATATTCCCAGCTCTCCTGTAACATTGCCTTAGTAGGATGTGAATCATTATGCCCTTGTAAACCTGCCCAATAATTTACCATCAACTGCTTCCTTCTTAATTCTAAAGGACATTCTCCTATTTCTACCTGTAATGCTGACACTGGGGTAGTTTTAAAAGCTCCACAACACAGCCTCAAGGCCTGTGCCTGGATTACATCAAGCTTTTTTAACAGAGATTGAGCTGCAGAACCAAAAACCACACACCCATAATCTAACACCGATCGAATTAGAGCCACATATATTCTCTTCATTGATAATCTACTTGCACCCCATTCTTTTCCCCTCAAACATCTCATTACATTTATTACTCTTTTGCACTTTTCTTTCCATTCTCCTGATAGTGACTCGGATCTTTGAATCTCGTTCAGCTAAATTAACGAATCCTTTTTCAAGTTATTTTGTTCATTTCGTTCATATCAGCAGACGAACGACTCGGGAGGTGAACTAATCGTTTCTGTTTCCTGTACAGAACCTATAGGATGTTACGCATGCGCGGTCAACGCGAAATGAACGAATCCCTCGCTGAGACAACTCGTAGGCCTAGTTCCCGAGTCATATTAAAGATTCGTTCAAAATGAACGAATCGTTCAACAACGACCCATCACTATGTAACGGTCGAAATAACCGGTAGGGGACGGACGTGTCCCGTGTTTCAATTATATTCGAGCAACTTCTGTTTTTCGTTCATTTCTTCCCTGAACACAAAGAAAGGTTTAGCAAAAGTACATTGCCACTACCGCATTTTTTGGACTTTACCACTACATTCTTTGAAATATCTGTACGAGTATTCAGTACGTATGAACACTTACAGAAAGTGCCAAAAGCTCAGGGTTTTTGGACAGAAACTTTGGTAGTACATTGGAAGTACCATGGTATGTGGTAAATTAAAGGGGTCATATGATGCGATTTCAAGTTTTCCTTTCTCTTTGGAGTGTTACAAGCTGATTGTGCATAGATAAGATCCCTGAAGTTGCAAAGACTAAAGTCTCAAAACCAAAGAGATATTCTTTATCAAAGTTAAGACTCTGCCACGCCCCCCTAAAACGGCTAGTTCTAACACGCCCCCACATATCTACCTCACTATGTGGAAATATTTGCATAATGCCGCCCAAATGTGCACGCAAAGAAAGAATGCATGGTTTCAGTAACCGCAGTTAGTGTTGAAGCAGCCATGTCAGGGAGATGCTGTGTGTTTCTAGGCGAAAGCAAAAGCGCTTTATTTGGCCTTCCGAAAGTAGATGCATTTAAGAATCTTTAAGATTACTTACAACAGAACAGCAATGCATTTTATGAACGACCGTTTCGTGAACCTAGGAGAGGAGGTAATTCTGACTTTGCTATGACAATCCGGCGCTTCTGAATCAGCGACTGTAAGTATGTTTTGTTACTAGTTTAAGTATTT